ACCAAACATGCTCGTCATTTCAGCCGTGGAAGCGTTATTTAGTGACGTCAATCCCACTATTCGTTGGTAAAAAGAGTAGCCCAAACGTTGGCGGTGGGTGGTGATGATTAGCTGCCTTCCCTTTAGTCTTAAACTGCTAAATTAGGGCCGGCTAGCGCAGATAACCCTCGTGTAGCTTTGCGCGAATTTCAAAACAAACCAAAATAAATCCACAGTACTATTTTTGTGACAAAAGATGTGGACATACGCAGGCATATAAGGTGAAAGATAAATATATACCTGCGGTTCTGTTTCATCCTTTCCTTAACAATATTCACATTTTGTGATGGTAGTTGTTGTTGTTTTCAGTGTTGCCTGGTCAACATCATTCACCGGCCGATTAATTTATGTGTCCATTATATATGTAGTTGTTTGTTTGTTGGTAAGCATAAAACTACACAATAAACCATTTGTGCTCTGTCTACCATGAGTATCGAAAGCAGATTTTTAAGTTATATGCCTCAGATTTACTACTGAGCCATCAGGGGGCGTTATAGATATAAGTTGTGTCGTCGCTTTAGAAAAATGAACGTAATAAAATTTGGTCTCGAAACTGTTTGCCATCGGCAACTAGGACTCTCAAGGATATCGGGGTATAATTAGATTTTGAACTTCCTCCCAATAAAAATTATAACCTTCTTGATGTAATAACTTCTGGGAAAAGGCTTGTATTTGGCATTCATGGTAAACAAAGCTGCTATATAACCATTATTCGGTAATTAAATATATAAAAATGCATTTCGTCTTACTTTATAAGTCATGTTCATATTGATATTCAGGGATTTAATTACTATTGTTCAAAAGATTTTAGGTAGTCCAAGATTTATTTTCGTTAAATAAAATACACAAATAATCAGTTTCTTTGAAAGAAGTGTTGTCCACTGTAGTGAAAGCTGTCAGTAGGAAATAATTGTCAGAGTGGCAAGATACCATTTATCTGCTGGATCCTATGGATTCGGTTACGGGATCTCTAATATAAATTGCTTCGTTTATACACGAAATCACGTATTTTTACCGTGAAAATGGCGTAACCCCGTGATGTTTAATTTCCGGATGTCGTTTAAGTTGTTAACGCTGAATTCGTATCTGCTCGATCTTCGCGTACATTACTATATTTATGTTCACTGAGAGCTGGTTGGCAAGTATGTTTCTAAATTACCAGCTCGTTAATTGTTCCACGAATTTATGATAATAACTTAACGTTACGACCAACTTCCAGTACGGTTTACTACAAAGGAAATAATAATTCTTTTCTGATAAACTTTAATTTCATTATCACGTTTTTCCCAGCCATCGTAAGAGCATATGATGAAAGATTAATAATGAAGTAACTTTTGTTACTGTTAGAAAAATAAGATAAAACGGCACTTAGAGAAAAAAAATAAATAAATATAGTATAATGTTCAACTTACCTACCTAATGGGTTATCAGTGGTTTTTTTTATATTACATATAGTTATAGTGTGTCCCCTATTTTAAAGAAGACATGTTAGATTTGCTATTTTCTACCTGAAAAACACCTTATGCAACATATGTACTTCATAATTCATCGTGCTGAAGCAGTCATCAACTATAACTGTCCTGTATGTCTGACAGTAAACAAGTCTTAACTTTTATATAATAAGGTCCTTCCTTAAAGATTATACCCAGTATGTCTGACAGTAAACAAGTCTTAACTTTTATATAACAAGGTACTTCCTTAAAGATTATACCCTGTATATCTGACAGTAAACAAGTCTTAACTTTTATATAACAAGGTACTTCCTTAAAGATTATACCCTGTATGTCTGACAGTAAACAAGTCTTAACTTTTATATAACAAGGTAGTTCCTTAAAGATTATACCCTGTATATCTGACAGTAAACAAGTCTTAACTTTTATATAACAAGGTACTTCCTTAAAGATTATACCCTGTACATCTGACAATAAACAAATTTTAACTTTTATATAATAAGGTACTTCCTTAAAGATTATACCCTGTACATCTGACACTAAACAAGTTTTAACTTTTATATAATAAGGTACTTCCTTAAAGATTATACCCAGTATATCTGACAATAAACAAGTCTTAACTTTTATATAATAAGGTACTTCCTTAAAGATTATACCCTGTACATCTGACAATAAACAAGTCTTAACTTTTATATAATAAGGTACTTCCTTAAAGATTATACCCTGTACATCTGACAATAAACAAGTCTTAACTTTTATATAATAAGGTATTTCCTTTAATTATTTATAAGGGAAAAGTGCTGAAATATATGGAATGATAAAAACAAAAATTAAGCTGCTCAAAACATTTGTTACTTCTATGTTCTTGGCTTATGAAAGTATTATTATGCGACTTTTTCGACTTCCATAGTTTAGAAATTCTCTATGAAGTTCGCTGTTAAGCTGTGATCCAACATTTTTTCAGTCCCAACGTTCGCATTTACAACTACGTTCTGAAATAACGGTACTGATGCGAAGTTCTTAGAACTATGTTTGGTAAGAGGTAACTATCGCGACACTACAAAGATTTAATGAGCCGCTGGTGATCAGCTTCACAAACCTTTATAGTCATTTAAATGCACCTAGCAATAACATTCGTTATTCGTTTTACTGAATCAAACCAAAATAACATCAGGAGTTTAGTTGGCTACTAAATAAAGGATGTTAGCCAATGAGATCCATTCAACCAAAGCAGACAATGAAATGTCAAGATAAAATCGGCACCACTTTAGTATTATGTATATTGTTTCAGAACTTTAAGCTATCTTCATCCTGGGGCTGAAGTTGGTTTTCTTACTGCAAAGTACGTACGAAACGTGTTTCAAACTTAACCGAGCAAAACATGAGAACGTTTCTGAAAATAGTTTATTACCCCCTTCTCCCCCCACGTGTGTTCCGTGTGTTAAAAAATGCGTGTTTCTCACGAGTAACACATCCCTCTTGACTTTGGGTATGTATGTATTTAGGTATGTATTTATTCCACAAATACACTTAGCTGCAGCTACTCGGTATTTTTAGTAATGCCAGAACAGCACGTGTGAATTGAACATTGGCCAAGATATAAAGAGTTATCTAAAAAACTGGCGTGTATGTCCTTTTTTTGTGTGTAAACAGCAATATTTCATTGAGTTCTGTAGTGTTAGTCTGCAGTGGCTTGTGAATAGAATGGGTATTTAGTTATGATCGTTATTTAAAAAACATATCAAGAAACTCCGCAATTTATAAAGATATATTTATTTTAAGAATTTATGATTTTACGAGATAGGGGATCAGATTTGACTCAACACGACGATAGGCCACAACTGAACCGAGTATGCTAACAACGGTTATCGAAAGCAAATTTTAAGTCATAAGAGAATAATCAACACCATTATAACTAGAATGAACGAATACAAGAAAAACAAATTTAGATGAAAAAATTAATGTGCCACCAACAACAAAAATTGGCGAAAAAGTACCGACATTATAACCTGAAGAGAAAATGTCTGCGATAATAGCTTCCAAAAGCTTTGGAGATATTCCGACTATGAGAGATAATCCTTAAAACGTCGACAAAGACAAGACAGCCTGCAAGGAAGGTCAAGTGGGGGTTAGGATTGAAGTAGTACAACCTACAACTTCCCATCTGATTTGTGACACAGTTAATATAATTGGCTTGAAAAGGCTATCTCCAAGCAGATGCGTTCATTTTAGCTAGCCCGGTTTATACATCAGTGATTTCGATTAGGGCTGAATATGGATGTATAATAAAGTTTTATAGTTCCTATTATTTTGTGATAATATACTATGGGTAAAGTTTGGATATTTTCATAAGAGTCAAAATTGATTATTTTTTATTATTAACAGCTATTTCTGACGTTACGATTGTTTGTTTGTTTGTTTGTTTGTTTTTGAATTTCGCGCAAAGCTACACGAGGGCTATCTGCGCTAGCCGTCCCTAATTTAGCAGTGTAAGACTAGATGGGAAGGTAGCTAGTCATCACCACCCGCCACCAACTCTTGGGCTACTCTTTTACCAACGAATAGTGTGATTGACCGTCACATTATAACGTCCCCATGGCTGAAAGGGCGAGCATGTTTGGTGTGACGGGGATTCGAACCCGCGACCCGCAGATTGCGAGTCGAGTGCCGTAACCACCTGGCCATGCCGGGCCTGACGTTACGAATAACACTTTGTTACCAATTACACAAGCGATAACTGGTAGTAAGATTTGATACGTTGCGAGTTCCAGAACATAAACCCTAGTTTCCTTTGCAAAGTGTTTTTTAGATTATATCTATTAGACGGGATGTCCCCAACGTTGTGTATGGGTTAGACGGGATGTCTCCAACGTTGTGTATGGAGAACTATTGACGAAGCGACTTTGTTTTTAAAATAATATGTTTTGTACTTCCTTGAAAAATGCTGTAATCTTTCATTGTTTTTATTTTTCTCTCTGTTCTTGGTGCAATCCTTGTTTTTCATTTAAATTTGATTTTGCTTCCTTTGTATATATATATATATATTACTGCATAAATTTATTTATTAGATTTTTAAAAAATCTCTTTATCACTCAAAATTCAAGTTTTTATAACAGAGGTAAAAAAAGAAAGAAAACGTGAATATTTCATTTTTCAGTACACTTCATTTCCTAGATTTTTTACATTAAGAATTCGTATAATTTATTTAATGCGTATGGAAATTTTACAAACTTAGTTTCCAGCAGACAGTTCTCCCAAATTTTCGAATGCCGAAAATTGGCAGACAAAATAAAAATTATTTTAGTCTGAAATGTTGAAAACTTACGCAATGTAACTTGTATATTTTATGAATTTACATAAAACTTAATAATATATTTTAAAGTTTTAATTCATAAGCATTCTGGTGTTGTCGGTACGTACAAATAATTAAAAACTAACCTTATTATTGCTCTTATTTTGATTTTTACTTCAGCCTGATTAGAACCATTTTTACTATTTCTGCCATTCTAGGGTCGGTGTAATAGAGAAAAACCACCCTGTAAGTACTTTCACCCTCCGCAACACCTAAAGGATCAGCTTTTGATAAATGGGAGAAACCATCTTGCCCTTAAGAATGCCTTGTTACAGCAGATGCCTCTCCAACCAGTTCTCCACAGCCAGATTCCAACTGTGGTAAGTCTACGTCTGATACTTTTGGATATTGTATATTTCACTTTCATCTCATCCATAAGGATTGTTTTCGATTGTTTAAGGATTGTTAAAGGATTTAATGCATACAGAAGAAAAGAAAAAATATTCGAATAATAAAGAAAGAAATCACAACTTTGATCTAAGGTAAAATGTTTGTCACAGTGATTGAAGTTTTCTCCTGAAAAAACCTTACAAACGAATGTCGTTAATAAAAGAACAAAAACATTCTGAAGTCGAGTCGTATTTTTTACTAGCAATTGCGATATTGGTAAACTGACAGTTATGGTACACTGCAGAGAAGAGAATCATAACAATCAAGAATTGTTACAGTATTAAATCCGATCATTATTTTCTCGAAAAGTATAATGGGAAATTGTATTGTTTATACAGACAACAATATGTGTCTTCAGAATATCTGATTTCATACAGTATATTTCAATCGCTACTTTGTAGTTTACTTTTTAATCCCAACAAATAGCAGATTGTTATGGTATTGCTAAGGGTTAGTGTTTTTATGTACTTCACTATATTTAAAAAAATGGTGTTTTTATGTACTTCACTAGATTTAAAAAATAGTTTTTCATATCCCATTACTAAATTACATTAAAGTTCTTTCTAGTCTATATTTAAGTCATTAATTTAATTTATATAAAAATGTTTTAATTACACTACTTAATTTATATAAAAAATGTTTTAATTACGCTACTTAATTTATATAAAAAATGTTTTAATTACGCTACTTAATTTATAGAAAAATGTTTTAATTACGCTACTTAATTTATATAAAAAATGTTTTAATTACACTACTTAATTTATATAAAAAATGTTTTAACTACACTACTTAATTTATATAAAAATGTTTTAATTACACTACTTAATTTATATAAAAATGTTTTAATTACACTACTTAATTTATATTAAGATCAGAATGCAGTTTTACGTTTGTAGTTTTATTCTACAGATTGTAATAATCATGACATTCGTTATATTAACTTGAATTCTACAGTTTTAGGAGTAACGAAGATAATAAGAAGATGTGATTGGTATGTAATACGTATGTTAGCCAAAGACATCCAATGGGCTATTGAACCCCAAATGTTAGCATTATAACTCCACAATGTTATTACTGACCCACAGGGTACAGTATGCTATGATATCCATAACCCCCCTTGAACAAGTGTTTACGTATTCTATTAATATCCCACTGTTATTACTTTGTTTGTTATGATAAAGTAATACAAAAGTTATTACGTTGCTATTCGTATGATGTTGCTATTATTGTAGCATTCGAGTATAATGCTGGGTCAGTGGTACTATACTGAGTTAACATGCTTTACATTTTAGTAGGTTTGTAATTGCTTTAAAGGGTCAAATTTCAAATGGAGCACATATGAATTAAGTAATATTGAAGAGAAATGCAGAGTATTAACGAAGAACGAAATATTCACTGCTACATTTCGAAGTTTTATTTCTGCAAAGCTTGCAGTTGACGTTTTAAACTATATCTACATATAGGTAATATATGTAAGTGTAAGTTTACATGAAATAAAAATTCTAACTACAAAAATTCATTCCCAAACAAAGCCTAACAAACAGCTACACAAGAGCAATAGAAAACCTCAGTTACCATTTAATGTGACAAACAATTACCTATTTACAAACACTAATGTGACAAACAACTTAGTCCATCTGTTCTGCCTAATCAATGAACACCTTCTGATTTTTATAAATGATCTTCTGATATTCATCAATGAACACCTTCTGATCTTTATCAATGATCTTCTGAAATTTATCAATGAACACCTTCTGATCTTCATCAATGATCTTCTGATCTTCATCAATGATCTCCTTTATTTTCTCGATTCAGTTAAATATTTTTTCTGCTTATAGTTAGCTGTCATTGTAATATCAAATATCCTCTGAAATACTTTAACAGCTTAGGCTAAGAAGAATAAACCTAAATAGTGGGTAATCAGTCTTATCACAGTATTTTCTGAATAACATCTTAAATACGTACTCAAGGTGTATTTTATAAACTCTTATAATCCGGAATACGTAATCTTATATTTAAATACAAACAACCCGGCGCCGTTTGCGTATTTTTGTTATCTATAGTGGCAAGATCCATTTAAATTGCAAGAAAATTATTGTCTTTTCGCTAAGGCAAGTTTATTCTCTTCATATCATATTATATTGAACTGTCAATGTCAGTATTTTAAAATCCCTTCAAACCAGTCCTCGTTTATACTTGATCAAAGTTTGGCGTATAATACAAAGAAGCCACAGGATTTACATCAGATTAGCTGTTTTACATCGGTATTTGTCAAAAAAATGGTTTACTCTTTTCTGCGATAAACATTTTTCACGTTTCTCAGTTTTTTAAATGATTTTATAAAATTATCTAAAACTTTAACATTAAGTGAAGACTTTCAAGCTACCCTTTGAGTTATATATATGTCTATCCAAGTGTCTGCAATAGTCCTTGTCATCCCTTTGAATCATGCACATGTCTATCCAAGTGTCTGCAATAGTCCTTGTCATCCCTTTGAGTTATGTATATGTCTATCCAAGTGTCTGCAATAGTCCTTGTCATCCCTTTGAGTTATGTATATGTCCAAGTGTTTGCAATACTCCTTGTCATCCCTTTGAGTCATGCACATGTCTATCCAAGTGTCTGCAATAGTCCTTGTCATCCCTTTGAGTTATGTATATGTCTATCCAAGTGTTTGCAATACTCCTTGTCATCCCTTTGAGTCATGCACTTGTCTATCCAAGTGTCTGCAATAGTCCTTGTCATCCCTTTGAGTCATGCATATGTCTATTCAAGTGTCTGTCTGCAATAGTCCTTGTCATCCTTTTGAGTTATGTATATGTCTATCCAAGTGTCTGCAATAGTCCTTGTCATCCCTTTGAGTCATGCATATGTCTATCCAAGTGTCTGTAATAGTCCTTGTCATCCCTTTGAGTTATGTATATGTCCAAGTGTTTGCAATACTCCTTGTCATCCCTTTGAGTTATGTATATGTCCAAGTGTTTGCAATACTCCTTGTCATCCCTTTGAGTCATGCACTTGTCTATTCAAGTATCTGCAATAGTCCGTGTCATCCCTTTGAGTTATGTATATGTCTATCAAAGTGTCTGCAATAGTCCTTGTCATCCCTTTGAGTTATGTATATGTCTATCAAACTGTCTGCAATACTCCTTGTCATCCATTTGAGTTATCCATATGTCTATCCAAGTGTTTGCAATACTCCTTGTCATCCCTTTGAGTCATGCACATGTCTATCCAAGTGTTTGCAATACTCCTTGTCATCCCTTTGAATCATGCACATGTCTATCCAAGTGTCTGCAATAGTCCTAGTCATCCCTTTGAGTCATGCAATTGTCTATCCAAGTGTCTGCAATAGTCCTTGTCATCCCTTTGAGACATGCACATGTCTATCCAAGTGTCTGCAATGGTCCTTGTCATCCCTTTGAGTCATGCATATGTCTATCCGAGTGTCTGCAATAGTCCTTATAGTTTATTATTGGCCTTCCAATAATACAAAATTTCATAAAGGGTACAGAAATTTTTATGATAGTTACAGGTTATAGCTATAATGCCAAGTTAAACTTCCGCAGAGAAGAGAGAAATGTCATGGTGAACTTTGCAGAAGCATCATAGTAGCACCATTATACCATGAAATAAAGATCGTCTTTGTACAAACTGGATGCTATTAGGCATGACTTGGTCAATATAATGCATCCAGCCTCACATACAAGAAATCAATAAGAACTGCAAGAGCAGTCTATAGTAAATCCAGTTTACACATCCAAGTTAACGAACCTGTTCCTCTACAAGATACAAGTACAGACGGAATTCTATGTTGTATCATTCATAAACATCTTCCAAGACCTTTTGTGCCTTTGTGTTGCTCAAACAGGCCCTTGAAGTCTTCTTCTGCACGTAATTAATGGACTTTGGACAACATTGATCTCAATGTGCTGCGTAAATCCTCCTGCAGTGGAAATTTTGCTGCAGAGCACTAGTCCATAATCAAAGCCATTGTAATGGAAGTGCAGTGAGGCCTAAACACTCCAACTTGGCCATCGGTCGTGAACACCTCTGTTTCCTTTTCAAGGAGTAACCAGTAGTGTTTAGTACATGTTACCAAGAGCTTATGATCAAAAGTAAGTCGACTACATGGACCAGAACTAAATTACTTTAAAATGACATAAACATTAATTAAGACAACTCTTTCTAACACACTGAGTATGCATGTATAGTGCTACGGATGAACACGCTTACAATGATTAAATTGCATATAATCATTAGTTGAGTGCCCTTACTTTTAATGATCTGTTCCTTTATGTAGTTAATTGTGGGTGTTTGCCTTTTCTATGAATAAATTACTTTAAAATATGAAGAGTAATATTATATTATAACGACACTATTTTATCCAAACTCTCAAGTACGGTTGATGTTCTTCCTAGCCGTATCGTAGTTTGTCTGAAAGTAAATACTTAGCTAACAGCTCTATTTCTATATAGTTACTGATGATGTCTACTATCAGACTACAGGCTTACCTCATCAAACTTATATAGTTATTATTTGTTTTCTTGCCAACGTTTACTGTCTATTGTTTCAATGTTTTCAAAGCCGTGCTTGTTTTTATACTGAATTTTCATCGATCTTCAACTTTTTAAACTTGTTTATGAAAAACAAAAGGTATAAATAATTTACGTGTAAGTGGATTTAATATCATTCATTTTCCATAAGTATAAACCATATAACAATTATAACCTTGAAACTCAAAGTTGCCTCATAAGTTCTGGGAAAGTTTACTTTGAGAAATGTCCTCAGCACAGTGACAGGGATCCTGTTAATCACATAAGACTAATTCAAAGTCTATTACTATACTTTACAGTTTATTTCCGTTTCGTTGCAATAACTTCTGTAAACGTAACGTTGAAATTACTGCATTATATTTGCTTATTCAGGAAACAGATATTGTCTCCAAAAAGTAGACAAACTGGACTCAAATATTAAACATGCGATGTACTGTAGCAGTTTCATGTTTATGAAGCTCATACCCCCACTTTACTTACCCGTATATTTAAGTATGTTATCACTTCTTGTGTATTAAGTATTTCCATTATTACCAATTTTCTGCCTCTAGCCGATGTCATCTAGCTACCTAGCGACGGAACAAGACTCTCCTGTCAGCTGTCGAGTGATATAACCATCTATGATGGCAATATTAGGGTCATAAAATAATGCAGTAAACGTAGGTTCTACTGTATTCATTACCCAAACGCACACATTGCTTGGTTTCCTCCCCCAACATCCACCCTAGCCCTGCTGAGTGTAAATTTCCATTAGTTGGTCGTAAAGTCAGATGTTAGTCGACGTGTACCACCATAACTACCATATTCTACACTTCCTGTAGATCCCTAGAGAAGAAAACGGTGATCTTTTGGTAGAATCTACTGGCTTCTTGAGCTAGCTCCCCCCTCAACCAACACTGCTCACCCCTTGAATTATACATTTATGAGTCTGAATGTTGCTATAAGAATGATTGTCCTGGAGTAGAATAACAAGTTACACAAGAACTTGAAGATTGATAATAAACTTTTTATTGGGCAGGCTACGTTTCGATAATTTAATAAGTTTTTCTTCGCTGTCTTAACAATGACGTTATATCCCCAAGGAATTTACTGAAGACTCTTATGCAATGCTGGACTTTCCGTTTAGCCTACTAGGTTGACAAGAAAGTATCATATACAGGAAAATTCTAAGAAAGTGTGATGGAAAATAAAAAAGAACGTATAACAATATGTCAATCACACTTTATCTGCCATACTCAGTGTCGACGAGGCCTTTCACTCGATACCAGGTCTCATCAGGCCGGCTACAGTGCGACAGGCGCAGTAGCGCTTGAGACGCTATCTATATTATCAAACTGTATGAACAACAACTAATAAAAACAGAGGATTTTAAAATGACATAAAAGAGAAACTAATGATTAATTAATTAAGAAACTATATTAAAGGAGTTATATTCCACATTCATGCACGTGGCTGTGCAAGCTTTAAACTGGAAGAGTGACGGGTAGGCTAACCCTGAACAAGATAAAATATTAAAAAAATAACCATTCGTAATGTAATAACCTGTACGCGTCTGCGAGTTGCTGAAAAGGTGTCGACAACCTTTACAACAAAAAAAGGTCAACGTATAGTATAACAAGTTTATAAAAATTTATTCTATTTAGAAATGTCTCTCTCTTTGTGAGTTTATATTATAATCTGAAATTATTATCGATGTAAAAAATAAACTTAAACATTTTCAGTTTCCAAATTCCAGGGTATGATAATTGTAAAGTAATGTTATACATTTCAGTTTGGAAATTATATATGCAGTGAAATGAGGTATTTATCAGAATGTTAGTTTAATTGTGGTAATTAATTTTAATTTAAAATAGCTTTAACAATTAAGGATGTTATGATCACATCCTCCTATTCTTGGCAGGTTATCTCCCATTTTTAACAAATGATAACACCTAATTTGACAGGTTATCTCCCATTTTTGACAAATGATAACACCTAATTTGACAGGTTATCTCCCATTTTTAACAAATGATAACACCTAATTTGACAGGTTATCTCCCATTTTTAACAAATTATAACACCTAATTTGACAGGTTATCTCCCATTTTTGACAAATGATAACACCTAATTTGACAGGTTATCTTCCATTTTTAACAAATGATAGCACCTAATTTGACAGGTTATCTCCCATTTTTAACAAATGATAACACCTAATTTGACAGGTTATCTCCCATTTTTAACAAATGATAACACCTAATTTGACAGGTTATCTCCCCTTTTTAACAAATCATAGCACCTGAGATTTACTTTTTAATACTGTTTGGCAGATATCCTATCTCATTCTCGTGTATTTTAATCATACACTATTCATCGTATATGAAGCCAAGTTCCTACTGAAAACTATATTACAACGTAGAATTTGGACGCTCATAGCATAGTTGTAGGTAACTCTATTCTTGACATGTAACATCTACATCGTTTTCTTGGTCATCTTCCACATCAGATTTATTCTTTATAGACAGATAAATATCTAAAAGTTATATCTGACGCTGTGTAATCTGTATCTGTAAGCTTAATTTGGCATTTGTTCTCTAACTATATATATATATATAATAATCAACACATTTCTACTACATGTATTTAATGCTTCCATTAACGCTGCCCAAACAAAGAAAGAGCAACATCCTGATAGTAGGATGAGTCTTTAGACAGGAACAACTTTGCAAAACGGCGAACTATTTAAATGAAACGTTTATTCCTTGAGTGGGTATAATATAGCGTGCCATTTAAAGACAGTAGTTACTATCTCGTGGGCAGATTACACTGGTAGTGTAGTTATCTATTAACCACTATTATACATCTGTAACGGTTTGAACTGTCAATAAAACCCGCGATGTGTGGCGTCGTTCAGTAGCAATAAGATAACCAACTTCTAATGACAACTATTAACACAGAAGTTCGTAAGAATTTCTATATTTTGTTGACTTCGGTATCAGGAGGGCTTGACAGCCACTATTAGTTTCAATATCCTAATAGATTTGTTTTAAATATCTCTTACTCTATCCAGATATTCTGTGACATTTCAAAGGTTATGATTAAAGACAGTCGTGTTCGCATATATCGTTTCCATTCTGTTATTATAGATATTTTTCTTTTGGGAATTTTAAAGGCTGCAACGAACTCCTACTTGGCCACTCTTCCCACGATGGCCACACCTTCAACGTTCAGTCCCTACTTTAGTCCAAGTCCCATGATGGGGATGATGCCAGCTGATGCCATGGCACCACTAAGTGTTATACCCACACCTATGGTCACGCCTCAGAAGGTGCCACGTACGGACAGGTTAGAGGTAAATGGTGTGTTTTATTTTTATGTGTAAAATAAAGAGCTATTACTTTAATTAGATGAACCTGAATTGTATGCCAGCCTTTGTATTAAGTAACGTTATTTTACTTATATTTTTTATACCGTCAGATAAAATCGTGTAGCGATTAATATGAAAAAATTATATAAGAAACTAAGTGGAAGCAGAAACTTGAAATTATATAAGAAACTATATGGAAGCAGAAACATGAAATTATATAAGAAACTAAGTGGAAGCAGAAACATGAAATTATATAAGAAACTAAGTGGAAGCAGAAACATGAAATTATATAAGAAACTAAGTGGAAGCAGAAACATCAAATTAAGCGGAAAGAATATTAAAGTATTTATTTCGTGAATAATAAAAAAGTTTTTATGAAGGACATTTAGAGTACACAAAATGAGTAGACGTTTATAATTATCATTATGCACGAAAACTATTCTGAAACTGAGCATAAAACGGCTTTATATCTAAAATACAAGCGTTTGTTCTTATCAACATACTCTTATTCGCATTTGACATCATTCCAACTCATTTTCAAAAATATCTTTGTCAAACCCGAATCTTTCGTATACTTCAGTGCTGCAATCTTCATAGTTACTGTAACAGAGTACATACATATGCTGCCATCTTCATAGTTACTGTAACAGAGTACATACATATGCTGCCATCTTCATAGTTACTGTAACAGAGTACATACATATGCTGCCATC